GGCCGCAATGTGTCTATTATGGATCCCTTTATGGATCCCATAATGTACCACAAGAATTTTCCATATTATAAATTCAATTAAAGTTGAAATCTTGTAATCTATATTTAAATTAGGTCTTTCATTCAGTGTCACTTGTTATTTAGGTTGGTATTATAATACCAAATAACATTACTCAAATCTCTCTCTTAGACACAAATATTTAGATCCATCCAATATTAATGAAAAACAGAATCAAATTGATAGCCATTGAAAACTTTAACATGCACGAATCATGCTATACTGACAGAATTTTTACAAAATTACACTTGTCAAGATTTCATTTGCAGATGAAAAAAAGATGGAAAACTGTCAATCAGGTGCTACGTCTATAAACAACAACCCTGTACATATGGCTTTTTTCCAATATACATTGATCAAATCAAATCAGGCTAGGGATGGTAATGGAGGGTGTTCCCCGCCCCGTCCCGTCCCGCCCCTATCTTCGCTTAAAGATGGGGCATGGCCTCTTGCCTCAATTACCGCTCATTTATTTTTTAATTTTTTTTTTTTAAATCATGTCTCTAATGGGTGAAAATCATTAATATTTTCTAATTTATAGAATAGTTCATGTTCTCTTTAAAAAATGTTATGATTCTTTCTTTTTGTATAGTCCCCAAACTTATATCTTGAAACAGATTTTAAATGGGAGCAGTGACCATGTTGTCCATACCTACACCGAGTACTCGAATTCTAACTTGGGTATCAAGTTTAACAGATCTTTTATCATTCCTTAAACTAGGTCATAATCAACTAGTTTCGATCCGACTCAATCTAGTACTTTTGGGGGGGAACCTTAAAGTGTTTAATAAAAAAAATTATTGTTTCACTTGATGATATATTTTATCCAACGTAAAAAATTTTATTATCCCATTTTAAAAAAATTTAAATTTACTTTTAATCACACATTCTTTCAATAAAAAAATTTTGCGCATGAACCAAAAAATTTTCTTACTTTTTAACGGTACATTCTATAAATTTATTATCCTAAAAATGGGCTCAAACAAGGTTACGTGAGACAAGAATCAATCCAATGATTAATGTTAGATGGAAATTATAAAAAGATAATTTGAAATTTAGCCCTTGTATGAGCTCCATTTTTAGGTCAAAATATATTTTTAAATAGTATTTTATTGATAAACGTGTAAATAAAAAAAATTTGAATTTGTCTGTAAAATTATTTTACGAAGGATGTGTGATTAAAATAAATTTTTAAAAAATGATTTTTTGAAAA